GGGGCTGCGCTGACCCGGGGAGGGGGGAACGGGGGGAGGGGCCGCGGCGGGGGCGGCGAATCTCGCCTCCGACCCCGCCGCGGCCCGGGAGTCACCCGCGCGCCTCTGCGTCGCTGCCTCCAGGGACCGTCCCACGAGGAACCCGCGCGCTCCCGGGCTCAGGGGAAGTGCGGTGAGTGCACGCGGCGCGCTACCGGGACCGGATGGTGAGAATGGCTGGACCCGGGCGCTAGGATGGGCTGCGGGGTGGGGCGAAGGAGGAGGGGGGCTGCGGTGGCTCCCCGCAGGTCACCCGTGGCCAAGAAGGGGTGCTTGAACCGCTGGCCCAGTGCCCTGCAGGAAGGATCAGCACTCCCTGCTGGACCCGCACTCTTCTTAAAGGGGGTCTCCAGAGGGAAGGTCACACCCCACCCACCCACGCGCGCATGCAAGAGGCTCCAAAGTGACCTTTCTGCCCTTTGTCTTCTAGAAACACAGGGTGAAAGAGACTGGCGTCTTCCCGAGAGGTGCTGGAGGCCGTGAGCCCCGGCCGGGAGGGAGGGCAGGGTGGGGGGCCCAGCCTACCCGCCAGGCCTCTTCCAGGGTGCGCGTGGGAAGCCGCTCAAGTGCGTTGGCTCTGGCAGCCTATATCGCGGCTTGGGCCATCGCGGTCAGGCCGGGCCTTCAGGGCAGAGCCAGGGTCACCGAGGGACTCGTGGCGCTGGAGAAAAGGTAGTTGCAATAAGCAGGCGCGACTGAAGACGCGGTTGCTGGGCGTACCTGCGTTCTCCCACAGAACCACAATACACCTAAATCTCTCTGGCTCCCGCAGCCCAGGGCAGGTACCGACCCGGTCCCGAGGGTCCTCCTCACTTCCCCCCGCAGTGGCGGTCACAACACACCCTCCTGGAACCTGAACCCTCCGGTGCCGCGCGGATGCCAACTTCCCAGGCGTCCCCAACCGCCGGTGCGCGGGGAGATGTCTCAGGAGTTCTTTTAGTGCGTCGGGATCTTTTGCGGGCTGTTGGTTGTGGGATGTGGGGCATCTGACCTCGACGTCCGCACCGGACGACAAGACTTGGGAACCGGGTGCCCTGGGCAAGGTGATGGAAACAGGGTGCCAGGGCACGTGATTTTACAGGTTGGTGCCAGCGATCTCCTACTCTGCGCCCGTAGCCCCGATTTGAGAGGAGCTCGCTCGTCCACCACTCCTTGTCACTGACCTGATACCGACCTCCCCCGCTCGCGCTAGGAAGGCCCGGCCTTCAAGCGTAAGCCTGCAGTAGGCTCTCTGGACTTTGTCTGGGACCCCTTTAGAGCCCCCAAATTCGAAGGCTTTCGCGGCAGTGTAGATTCCTAAGGGCTTAACAGGGTTTCTAAACCCTGGCGCTGCCAAACACCACTTTTCGGAAGATCCTAGGGCTGGTAACTCGGTGGCCTCAAAGTCGTGCGAACCGGGAGCATAAAGGATCTTGCTTAGCGCTTGGAGTTTCCCGGCTGGGCAGGACCTTCGGTTCCCTGAGCTATAGTGCAGGCGCGGAGAGTCAGGGCGCCTCCCCAGCCGCGCTGTGCTTGCATCCCGGACCCGCTCCGGTGTCCAGTCCTTTACCATGCTGTGCTGCTGGCTGCTCAGGGGCCTTACACCGAGGGGCTCCTGGTGAGCCCGGGCCGCGGACCCGCCCTGCCTGCCGCAGCTCCCCCTGAGCGCCCTCTGGCACCTCTCGCGCTTCTGGAGGATTTAACGCTTCCCTCTCCCCCACGATTTCCGACCCTCAATTATAGACTCGGGAGAATTCCTCCCTGGCTTGAAAGGGATTACCCAGATCGTGGAAACATGGTTAAGTAGAGGTGGGAGAAACCCAAGTAAGGAGAACGGAAACTTCTCAAACCGAGTTTCCCAGATTTAAGGGAAAGCACTTTTGAGCTCCCGCGACCCGGTTTGCGCAGTGGCAGCGGCTTCATGAATCTGCACAACAGTTTCGAATCGCCGGCTTTGAGTAGTGGAAAAACTCAGTGTTTGAAGTGGGCGTGGGGTAGTTCCAGGCCCAACGCCTGCCCCTGCAGACGCCCAAGCTGGCTTTGTACAAGCCCTTCGGCAAACATTCTTTCACTTCACACACATAGGGAATTAGGGACCCCAACGCCACCATCCGAAGTCTTTGGATGTGGAGCTAAGTATTTCAAGATCTCTCGCAGGGAAGGGTGCTGATGTTTAAGTGAAATACTGAAGGAAGGATCTTTGTTTGAGTTGGGGCCGTGCTAGAATTCTTCCTCAGGAGTTGAGTCCAGAGCCTCAGGGAGGGACTCTGAGAACGATATTTATGCAGGATACTATTAAGTTAGAAGCTCTGTTTAAACGGAAAAGCTCTGAATGTGTGTGTAATCTTGTGCACACAGAAATCTTGCCGGTGTGGTGGCGTGTGGATACCAGGGGATAACAGTTATGTCTTCTCAATCACTGGCTACTTTATTTTTGGAGAGAGGGTCTCTTCACTGAACCTGGAACCCTTCATTTCAAAAAGAAGTCTGACCCATGGACACCCCCCCATCTGTCTGTCTCTACCTCGCAGTGCTGAAGTTACAGTGATTGTCCTCTCTCTCCTTTTATGTGGGTGCTGGGGATTCAACTCAGGTCCCCATGTTTGCCCAGCAAGCACTTTACCCACTGAGCCACCTCACCAGACCCTGAACAAGTTTTAATTGGAGTAGTCAGGGACATTGGAGACGACCATGTGTCTTGGACTCCTGGAGTAAAGAGAGACACCTCCCACTTCCTAGTCCACATATTGGGGCTTAACTTGCTATGTGGCTGGGAGTATCAGGGCCAGCTCTGCCGGCTCTTGGAAAAGGCAGATGACCCCAGAATCCAGCCGGAAGCCCGCTGTTCACCTACGGGCTGGAAGGAGGCCACAGGAGTGTGGGAAGAATTGGTCAGAGCTGCCTGTTTGCTGCCTGTTTGCACCGGACCTGCATCCCAATCTGCAGGACCCGAAGCACAACCTCTTGAACTCCACCTCTTAGAAATTTTCCATTAGGAAACTAATCTGAATGAAATTTGGGCCCCAAGAGGAAAGGGGTGGGCCCAGGCTGCTCCACATCTGTTTGGATTTTCCACTTCAGATGCTCCCTAACTGTTCCTCACCAGGCTGTACACCCGTGCCTACCTGAGGCCCATCCCCAGTGGAAACTGACTTTCGGGTGACATCAAGGCTGGCACAGATGTTTCACCTGGGATGGGCTCTGGAGAAGCTGGTACAGACCCACAAGGAGACCAGAGACCTGGGCACTAGGAAGGCAGGTTTGAGGGGAAGAACCCCTCCAGTTCCTGCATTGTTTCCAACCCCTGAGTGAAGTTTAAGGAGAACTTCAACCTCCAGACCTAGCAGAGGGAACAGAAAATCCAGGACTGTGGATATTCAAAACTATTTGATTTTTAAGCCCTTGTCTACACAGGCCACAGGATGCGCTTACTCCAGAAAACCCTACTCTCATCCATCTTCACGTATATGATTGTTTTATGACTGGGAGCCTTTTCTGATATGAACTACCCCCCCCAAATGCCTAGATTTCCTCCCATTCCTTTTTGTGTGTAAGTTTGGTAAAGGGCTACACCGACTTTCCTTGGGGATCATTGCTATTCCCAGAAAAAGCAAGAGAATAGTTACAATACAACACACATTGCTTAAAAATAATTACAGGTAGCCAGAACAATTTTGGGACTAATTTATTCTGGCAGAGGTCAACTCAGTAACATGATGTTCTGCGTGCTCCTTTCCAAGTACCACAAGGCTCTCTCTCTCTCTCTCTCTCTCTCTCTCTCACATGTCTGAGCTACAGTTGCACAATAACATCTTGTTTCTCTATCTCTCCCTCTCTCCCTCTCTCTGTCTGTCTCTCTCTCTCTCTCTCTCTCTCTCTCTCTCCCCCCCTCCCTCCCTCCCTCCCCCCTCCCACTGCAAGTTATTCTGAGATTATCTGAACTGGGCAGTAACTGGGAAGATCTTCAGATCAGGTTTGCATAGTCTGAGATGGACCCACAGGCACAGGGTGGGGACAGTAGCTCTGTGTCCTGCGAGCCCCCCAAAAGAAGGAGGAACCCCAAAGTCTTAGGGGATAGGGGCTTGGGTAGGGGTTGATTGAAGCCGACTCAGCTTGCTGGGATTCTGGGAAAAGCACAGTTGTCCTCCAGCTTGGTTGTCTAGGATGACTGAGGGATCACAGTTACTCCTGTCCCAAAGCTGGAGAAGATGCTGCCTGCTCCTCCCCTTCTCTCAAGAGGATGCATTTAGGTGAACAAAAATAGTGTCACTGGTAATTAATTGTAGCAATTATCAGAGTTCCTGAGAGAAGATCTCAGAGTGCCAGGAGCCTGTGAAGCTGCCTCTCCTTTGGGTAACCAACTGGTAGCTACAGGATCCTTTTAATTTTTCTGGTGATGAGGGATGAACCCTTTCCTCATTTTCCTT